AAAATAAAAAAACTTTGCACAATCCCGTACGATTTTAGCCTAAGTAACGGTGGAATTGCCCAAATAAAATAAACTGACTCATTCATTAATTTTTTTAAGCCACTTGTTTACGCAAATCAAAAAAATATGAAAGCAATGATAAATCATAAGTGAAAGCTCATCACATTTTACACATTTTGGGTAGAATTTTTTGACGGCCTTGGGAGATTTTTAAATTTAACTTATTGGTTTCTCAGATATGAAACTCTTGTCGTGGTCCTTGTGTCCGACATATAGTGAAAATATTATTTTTGTTCGTAGGTTGGTTCGTGATGAATTGATGATATTAACCCATTCTAGTGATTGGACAAAAGGAATACTTCAACTATATGCATTTTACTTATGTAATTGAGTAATTATATTTAATTTGGGAATGACTATTTACAAAAGAGATTTAGTTTACAATAAAATAATTTGGTATAACAATAAATTGTAGTGTAATTTAACATGCAAATATAATTAACAGAAATGAACTTCAGTATTAAATCACTTTTAGATAAATTCAAGAAAACGTAACTATAAAACCAAATCTTTGAAAGCATAAAAAACAAAAATTAAAAAAATCTAAAACAGAACAAAAACATAACAAAACTCAAAATTGGTAACATAATTCAAAATTGGTAAGAAACATTATAGTAGTTGCGTGGTCAGTGTTCATCAAACAACATCACTGTTTAACCAATAATTTCAAGGCAAATTAATCTTTAAAAATTATAAAATTCAAGACGTTATCCAATCGAGAATACAAAGGGTGATTTATTATCAAAATTAAATGGAACTTTAAAAATATTAACAAAAAACAAAAATTTAAACATTTTATGAAACCATGCACATTTTTAGAGATATCAATTATCAATATATACTTACCCCTTGTGTAACAACACACACTGAACTGGCAACTGGTTAGAGGACTCTGGCCTTTAATGGATCTTTTGGTCTTTTATAAGTGAAGACCCCTCCAAAGAAGTTGTTTTTGCAAAGTTGTTTACTAGTTTGTTACCACTCTATTTGGGGTGTCATAAAAGTATTTGTGTTTACACCAAATTAGGGTTAATTAACTTTAATATGAAGATTTTTAGTGGCTAAATGTGCTTTTTGTTAAAATTAACAAATCCAAACGATGAAACTATAAAACTGGACAAAGACATCGTGTCCAGTCAAATATTTAATAAATCTTGATTAGCATGGTGTGAAATCATAAAATCCAAGATTCACAAGGACAACTTTGATTTTTACGACAATGATGATTGTTCTCGGTGCCGTTTGGTTTAAAATCAGTTCATAGGTAGTAAAAACCTCTTACAATTTGCACAAGTACAGTATAAAATAAAACATATTTATTATTATTATTACAACATAAAAACTCAAATACCTTTTTTGCAACCGTTTTTAGGGTTTAAACCATGTAAAATTTAAGGAAGGTTTCGACATTCCGCCCACTTTTGTAAGGGGCATCTTCAAGAAGTGAAGAGCTAGAGAACGAAAAGTTCAGTGAAGAGAGAGAAACCGAAGTTAAACCGCTCTAATATTTATTCTATTTTATTAAATAATTTTTGTGTTTTGTACCCAGTAGCCGGCATACGCTTTCCAGTACGCCACTGGAACAATCCATTTCTCAAAGGAGCTGGAAGAGCATTTATGATCCCAGACAAAAGCGCGGTACCAAGCACCTTTTCAAATTACCTTCCCTCCCCACATTCTACCTCCATGGATTTTATAAACAGTGAAATTAAATGATACATGTTGACGGGATCGAAAACTGTTCTACGTTTCACAACATTTCTCAGATTAGGAAATCGTTAATAAACTGATCTTACAGTAACTGGTTGAGGGGGATCGTGGTTTCAAATGCGACTTAATTTTGTTCAAACAATTGTCCTTTGATGAAATTACCAATAAATTAAGTCAAGAGACCTTTTAAAATCTACCTGCGGAAAATTCCAAACTCCTAAACTACCAACCTAAAAGCACAGATTACGGCTAAAAGAGTGACTTTTGCCAACCCCTAACACGCTAAGCTTGTCTGGGTGATTGCCTACATTACTGGGATTGTGATGATTCTTATTTTTAAATGCATTGGAATCTGTTGATGTGTAGTTGATAAAAATATATAAATAGTGGACATGCTTTTATGAATGTATCGTACAGACATAATAAAAATATATATGTTAAAGGTATTGTAAGGATCCAATTCGAATTTTTAAATTTCAAACGAATTCCGCTCGCACAAGAAACGGTTAGTGAGAAGAAGGAGAGGTTGGCAACCAACCACCCCAAAGAAACAGACGTGCGCAAAGCGAGGGTGATATTGTCTTGAAAAATGGGTCACTTCTCTCTGACCGCTTCGAACAAACGGTCGACTTCCTTCGAGCGCTTCGAGCAACAGGTTGTATTTTTATCTGTGAGTTATTCTGTGCCTTTTGCTGTTGTTTTGCGTTTCCAGTGTTGATCCGTTCCATTGGAAAACCTAGCAGCCCCCGTTGAACCATTGGGTGTTCCTGATTTCTCATCGTTCTTACGACGAGGTTTTGTGTTCCTTTTTGGCGGTAAGCCGTGTCGAAATCTTCGCATCTTAGGAGAGGTATGTTTTGAACACGTTTTCGACTGGGTCCTGTTTCGCGGCGAGTTTCAAGCCCCGACGATGCTTCTGACCTCGTGACACATCGACGCGTGCGCTTTTTTCCACTAATCTCGTTTTTTTTATCTTTCATTTAAAATCCATCGCAGTAGGGCTTTACAGGAAGTGATTTTTATTTCGGGCCATGCTTTATTTAGCTACATTTGTGAAATCTGTATTTTGGATGGCGGCAAACGAGTTGTTATTTTCACAATTCTTTGTTCAGGCAGCAGCCATTTTGAGGCGTCCATTTTCTTTCTTTTAAACGAGCACATGTTTTAACTGAATCTATTGAACAAATTAACAACATTGTGGGTCATGGGGGGGACGTGCCTTTTTTATTCCTTTTATTTAGCCCATCGTTTATACAACGCCACAGGATTCATCGTATTTTTGCATCGCATATCTCCGACGCCTATTATTTGGAATGACGAATTCGTCCAACGCCATTTTGGACCTGCAGATTGTCTGCCATGTTTTTGTTTATGTGTTTTGTTTGGGGAAATGTATGTGTAATAATGGCCCACAATGTAGCTGAATAATTTCACGTTTGAATTTTAACCAATAACTTGACTGGACACGAATTAATATTAATCACATGTAAATCTGTTAACTTTACAATCTTTCACCTCATGCAATTTGTCTTTGTCTCACAATTTGAGCTTCAGTAATTTTCTTTGCTATATAATTTGAATTGAACGTAAATTTCCATGCTCTACAGTTTTGACCTAACATGATATTTTATTTGCACAGGTTTATTTCATACCAGATCTTTGTTTTCACAAATCTTTGCTAAGTTTTGATCTTGTAAATGTTTTGTTGATTAATGTTTCTATCATGTAAATTATCTGATGTCCAAATTTAATCTCAATTAAGAATTATTTGTTGTTGAATTTTCGTAAGAGTGTGTGGCGAATTTAAATGTTGTTTATTGCTCTTTGTTGAAACTTTAACACTTGTTCGGTTGTCATTTAATATTAGAGTCATAGAGTTTGAACATTTAAATAGAATTGGAGGTAAATAACACAACAACACGTAGTGTCGGCGATGGGCGCAGTTCCTAGTTGCGGTAGCGGAATGTATCGCGCTGTCTGCACAAGACGTGCAGGCTTTGAATCAGATTTCAGTGGGAACGGTCTTGACGACGAGGTAGTAGTTGACCAGACTTCACCGCTAGTTTTAGGCCGAAACGGCCTGCTTGGACGGCATGTTCGTCATGGAGGGGTGCTGTCTGGCAGGCTTGGTGTAGATAGAATCACCGTCGCGGGGGAAACCAGCCCAGACCGGGAGCTCCAAACTTCGCTCACGCTACGACGCCCCCTCTGGGTATTTTCTGTGCTCGTAAATGAAATTGATATATTTTGTTCTATATTTTGTTCGATCGCCACACTCTCATAATGATTCGGTTTCTGCCATCCAATTTACATAATGTGTAGGTCTTGTGTTTGTTCGGTTTTCATATGTGTATGTCTGTCAATTCGCGAGTGTTTTTCTTTCAAATATCTTAAGGTGTTTGACATGTAATATGTCGGTGAATAAAACCCCAGGGGGTTTTGGGGAATGAAGACCGATGACACCTTGGCCCTGCGGACTCGCCAGAAGGGCAAATTGAGCCGTTGTCGTTCTTCGTTTCTTTTTCCCCCTTAGGAAGGCTTTTGACCAACCTAATTTTGTCTATTATTTCTGGCGCTCTCGACCGTGTATGCACTTGTATGAAAGAACTTCTTCCCGCCATTTTTCAAAAACAAAAAAAAAACACACAACGTAGGTTCTCATTTGTTAGACGATCACAGCCAAGGCCAAACTTTGAATTTTTGAATTTTTCGCGGGCCTTTCAAACTGTTTCAAGGTCAAAATTTTAAGGCGGGAAGTTTGGGTTATCACAGTATCTACTTTTTTTTTTAATTTTTTGCATAATATGTAAAGGATGGTGTTTGGCAAATGTGTATGTGTAACTATCACTCATTTTGTATCAACAAAAGAAATTAGAGTGGCATCAATTTATGTAGCGAGCAGATGAGTATATCCCTTTGGATACCGTTACATACGTAATTAATTAGAGTGCAATTTAACTTTACTCGCCGCTTAAAACATTTAAAACCAGGAGGAGACAGATGCTGTACAAATATGTCGGTAAAAGCTCTCGTGCATTCCGTGTTTTTCCTATTTTCACATTGGTTGTAAAATTCCAGGCAATACAGTGTTGTAAAACTAGATGATTTAGTCAGTTCACTTTGTCTTTGACAATCGTTTTACGGTATCAGTTTAGAATAATCTTTTGTGTTCAGTGATAAAACCGTTTGAATTTCTTTTTATTGTAACAAATTAAAGACTATATTTTATATTCACTATATTCTTAATAAACTATACATCATTTACAACTTAAAATATATACATTTTACAAATAACAACGTTAAAATTAGTTTTTGATACACGACTTCACCATGAAAATTTTCAGTGATTGTAATTAAGAGGATTATCATTAATATTTAAAGTTGTATTCGTGATTAGCACCCGCATTGCCATATAATTTGATTTCTATTTAAAAAAGGGACATGAATTTTTGGTGCAATTTATTAACAAATTAAATTGAAATATATGGCACAATATTTTAACTTTGTCATAAGATAGGAACATAATTAACTTAAAGTTAAGCTTATTAAATGCGTAAAATCACAATGAGGAGATTAAAATGCACTCATATTGGAAGTTTTTTCATAGAAAAGCATGTAAGCGGTACTTTGTAACACTTCATCAACCATTACTTCTCGTATTTCAACATCAGATGTATAGTACCACCTGCAAAATCGTAATTAAAATATCACTGATGCTAAAATATTTTTAAACTTGCTTTGTGTTGTGGTGTCCTCTCCTGTATGTAATGAAATGTCCAGAATGTGCATCTCCGGTATGAACAACCACTGCTGCCAATTGATAGACATTCCGGAATTCATTCGCCATCTCTGACAAAGACCCCATTCCCCAGGACATGGGCATGCTACTCGATAATGGACTGCCACCTTCGCTGGTACTTGTGTACACAGAGTTGGTTAATTTTCGCTGATAGTGAGCGTGAATAAAAGTATAAGCTGCTAAAGACAACCTCATTGGAAATTGGACGTAATCTTGGCGCTTCGAGATTCCACCAGGTTGCCACGTATTGCGAGATATGTGTATGCAAAGGCATACTGGGAGCTAAAAATTGCAATTCCTGTAATGACAAGTGCCGGATGTGACGCATAGCTTCACAAACTCGAATGCAGCGCAAAATCGAGGGTTAAATAGGATGTTGGTAACAAATTCACCACTCACTCACAGGTTGAAAATGTACGTTTCAATTTTAAAATAAAATCAACTTAAAATTTAGTGTTTCTAATTTTCGATAAATCAAATAAAGCCCCACACTTTCCACCAAACTTTCTTCCGTTTTAAATATTAACTGCTTTAGCAAGGAGTATTTATCCACGTTTTGTCTTCTAATTTTTTTTCTTCTTACGCCCAGGAAATGACCTGACTTTTAATTATATTGGCACAAAACGATGGCAACAGCGCGAAATGTAATTTTTTTGCTCAAAAATGACAGTTGACTTGAAACGAATGCAACTTTTTCTGTAATACAACAGAATTTTTTTTATAACTATTACATATTTTAAATTTACGAATAACATTCTGAACTGTAGTTTCAAACTAATCTGAAGGAGCTAGTTCACTTTACTTGAAAGCTGTAGTATCGAATCTTTAGACAACATGTACGGAAATTTCCCCTGTGAAAAGAAAAAAATGTTGGTTGCCTTCTTAGCAAAGATGCATTTAAGTTTTATTTTGTGGACAAATAAAATCGTCATATATTTTTTGGATATTTCAAAACGATTGTTTGATTACCACTAAGAATAATATTTTGCAATCGTCTTTTCCCTAGATGTATGATTCAACTTATTTTTAGCAGTCATATTAATATATTTGTTACAGCTGTTTCGTAAAATACACTCCTAACATTTTTAATTGTTCTTGCTCATTAAAAATCAAAATTTTTGAAGGCCACCACCAAACAAACTAACAATTCAAACAAGATAAATTAGTGTCGTGATGTAAAAAATGATGTTCTATGATTCTCCATCACTTCTGTTACAATGGAACAAAAAAAAAGTAATGAGTGATTCAAACGTGCACACAAAATGATATGAAACTGTAGTATACCTTCCCAAAGTTAAGTATTTTAATTTGCTTGGACAAAATTGATGGCATGGCCGGATCTCTTCCACTATTACAACCTTCACATTGGACATCAGGTACAACTTCAGGAGTAACAAAATTGGTTAGAAGCTGATGCAACTTATGCCGTCCCCACCCTAGATCTCCAGCACCACTTGGAAGTGCCAGAGACAGACTTTCAAACTTATCATAACGAACTGTTGACTGAAAGAAATGTGTTAAAACAGATCCAATTTCACAAACTAAAATTTACTTTATGACCACATTCAGTGCATCTCAGCTGGCTGGTTAAAGTTCCGGTAAATGGATGGGAAACAGGTTGCTGAGGAGGTCCAGTCATTTGTAAAGCTCGACAAGATCTGGAAATCCATCTATTACGCCTAATTGCTGTACTCCTCCAGTTTAAACTACTTGGTCTGCACAGTTCATTTAAAGACATGACACTTCCAAGAGTATTAAATTCGGATATATCATCTTCAGGTTCTGGAGTATCTAATTCATTCATTCCCAAAGCGTCAGACAAACAACCCGCCTACAAAACCAGTATTGACAAACAAACTTAAATATTGAAATCATTACTTTTCTTGTGATTTTATGAGTTTCTTCATCTAGTGTTGTTAAAAGCACATTTAGTAATTCATGAGCGTCCTGTTCACCTGCTGGAATTACCCAACCCAGTCTTTTTAAAGCATTAATAACAGCTGCTGGAGCATATGTTTCTTTGACAGATTTGTTAGTGCCATTAACAACTAAAACCAAATTGTTATGATATCAGTGCAGAAAATTTAAAAGTTTACCTGAAAGAACAGTTGCTAGAGTTCCACGCAGACTAGTTTCTTTAACAAATCTGTCTTTTTCTAACCATGCTATAAACTGAGGACAAGCAGCTAAAGCATGTAATACAGCATTAAGGAAGCAAGTTTTTCCTAAGTTCACTAGTCCTGCTAAACGTCCACGGCCACTACCAGAAGCTGTTGCAGGGCCCCAAAATACAAAGGCCCCAACAACTGCTGCTGCCGTTAGTCCTGCTGCTACTAGAATTCGATCAGATTCCATTTCTAATAAAATTATAAATTACAGCAGGACGTGGGAGAAGAATACATTTTTACTTTTAACTCAAGTTGTCAACCATCCTGACTGAATGTACATCTAATTTTGGTCGAACTACAACAATAAGTATTAGCACAACACTGTAAATAAATATAATTGCTACAAATCACAATATTTGAAGACATATGTCATCTGCCAAATTTCACAATTTCACATAACACTTTCAGCATAGCCAACCACATTAAAATATCCCTGTATTGCTATTACATGCCCAACTTTACCCTAATTAAATAATCAGTTCAAGATTGATTAACAAATTCGCGCCAACAACAACGACTAGAAAAATGACAAAATGACCAGGATATTCAAATACTTACTTACTAGTTACGCAACGAAACACAAATTAATTATGCATTCTGCTTACCTCTCGTTTAGGGACATGGTGATCCTCAATTGGCAACGAAATCAATTTTGTTTATTGACATCTGTCATTTTAGGTTATGGCATATTTTTGGTAGTTAAATTTAAAAAATGATGGATGAAGGTTCGGAAAATAGCATTTATTATTTACTTACAAGCTTGTGTGAAAAATTTGCTGTTGATCAGAGTGCAGTGAGAAAATTGCGATCAAGGGTCTACGAAATATTATTAAAGAAAAGAACCAATAATGATTCTGACAAAAGTAATGTGCAAGTTTTTGCTTTAAAATTTACACAAAACATTTTTGTAGGTTTCAAAACTAGGAAAGGACTTGACCCTTACTGCAATTTATTAGCGTGGCAATTTACTTTAGCAACAAAATACGGTTTAGTTGAACATGGGACAGAGTTAAAAGAATGTGGTCAATATGTACGAGAACATTTTGGTGATGCTATTATTCAATTTTTACTGTGTTTGCGCAACGTGCCCTATGATCATGACGACTCAATGGTAATAGCTGTGTAGTGTTATATGATTTTTACTAAATTGTTTATTGCAGGATCTTGAGTTGCCATTATCTTGTAAAAATTTGTACAAAAATTCAGCTCTTAGAGTTAAAAGTGATTGTTCAACAAATGTGTTCATGAATTCAGATGAATCACATTCATCAGGAGATCTTTGGGATATAGTATCAAAAAACTCATATAGTTACAGAAAAAACTGGGAAGACTTTGGTCATCCTGAGCCTGATAAAGAGAAACCATTTTTATCGGAATTAGGAGAAAAATCTCATTTGTGGGTGGAAAATTTACCTTCAGTGTATTTCTCCTGTACATTTCAAAGTCCGATTCCAGTTAGACCACAAGTAAAAACAGTTTCAGAATTTGTGAAGGATGTGAAGTATCTGTTGGGTAATTTTTTTCATATTGTGTTTAGAATAATTAATCGGGTGAAATTTTGAGTTCCTGTGGTACCTAAACTGTACAGTATTTGTTTCTGCTGCATGATCTAATATGCCTTTTATGTAAATCCATTGTATTTTGTGTCTGATGGCTACCTGCAATGATACAATTCAAGATTATTTCATTTGCTGTACAGAGAGCGACTTTAAGTTGTTGACTACTTATGTATTTTACATAATTAATTGAAAATTATTTGCAATGAAAAAATGAAAGGACGTATTTAATCCTATTTGCATTTTTTTATTCCAGCTAAATACAAAACAATTTTTTAAAATTTTGACTTAATATTTTGGGTCTATTTGAAATCTTTTTTTTTTAATTCCGAGTTTTAATTAATCTAATTAGTTACTTTGAACAGTCTGGTGGATATGTGCATGCCTTGAAACTGAATTTAAGTAAATTTCGTTTAAGTTTAAGAAACACTATCACACAAGAAGGAACAAAAAAGTAAAAAGAAAACTAAGACAGGGAACCTGTGTTACTGGAAAAACTTCAGATAAACAAAGATAATTTTCTAGATGACTCTTCCCTGTCATGTGTATTAGATGATGTGAAACGTCTAAAGTTATTTAAAAAGAGCTTCCCTTAAAACAAGTTAGTTAAACAAGTTTAGTTCCCTAGATAATAATAAATAAATTCTATGATAACACCTGTAAGTTAAAATAAATAATAGTACTGTTTTTCCAAAATTTTATAAAAGTTAGTGCTCATTCACAATGGGCATAAAGCATAAGGATGTCATAAGCATTAATGCATAAAAATTTATGTTTAGTGCTCTATGCGTCACAATGAGCATAATGCTTAGGACATCCTTATGCTGTATGCCCATTGTGAATGAGCACTTATGTTCATTGTGAACGAATACAATCATAGAGCACTAAACATAAATTTTTACGCGTTAAAGCTTAGGACATCCTTATGCTTTATGCCCATTGTGAATGAGCACTTAGATAATAATTCACTTTTGATTTAATTAATCAAATTGATTGTTCATTTGTAAAGTTTTTTAAACATCGTATATAAACAACTTAAAAATGAAAATTAATTACTAAATCTCAAACAACAGCACATCTCTAAGCAGAATTTCTAATATTTTAATTTTGATGACGTCAAGAACTTCCTAGAGGGAATCGCTAATCATTAATTCGGTGTTATAGTATCTTGCCAAAATTCATTTTGTAGATTCTAACAATATACTTTTAAAAATTTATTTTTTTACGATAAGCCGTAAACGTATTTATAAAAACATCGACACATTATTATTAGACCAAAAATAAAGGAGCGGGTTACCATATTTATGGTAATAAAGCCTGAAGGGGGTCGACGATGTAAGTAGTTTCAAGTTAAATAATAACACTTTCTATAATTTTGTAGTTTATTAATATTATTTGGATATTTTAAATGTGATTTACTTGGCAAAATACTGAAATGTCTAGTTTAGGCTCAGTAAGTAACGTTTGCAAAACTATGCGGGATGATTTTTGATAATTTTGTGTCAATTTAAGGTGTTGTAAAATTTCCGACAAAGAGACTAGTAATTATTTGCGAACATAACTACAATTTCATCATTTTTAGATACATGAGATCGTAATTATTGCAAATAGACATCTATTTTTTTAATTTTCCGACGTTTGTATTTATATTTATAACTACTATATGGGACATTTTAATTAAAAAATAGCACTAGTCAACAAGCACGCATGAACGGGCAGTGCACAACTGCACAATATCAAAAATATTATAGGATTATTCAAATAAAATGCCATTCGAAAATGTTCCATTAAACAATATGAACTGGTTGTATTGTATTCGATAAAATAAATTTCTTGGTTATCAATTTTTTGAGCCTACTTGTGTGGTCAGTTCTAAAAACTGCCACGAAGGTACACACAAGTAATACTAGATTTATCTATCACGTTTTTTAAGACAGGGTCACAAACGTTTTTTGGTCAACTTTTTTCAGTAATTTGCATTTTCAAAAAAAAATAATTATTTACTTCTAAAAATTAAAAATTCGTAATTCCACCATACTTATAAATGAATTGCTGGAATTTTGCACAAAACTTTTTGGTTACCTCGCCTTGACAGACACATTGCAAAAGAGTGTTTTAATTGATTTACATAGGTTGATTAAATTCCAAATTGTCAGTTTTCTCATATTTTGTAACATTCTCAGACTTATCTCCAAGTAACTTTCCCGTGGAAAACAAATTTGTTCAGATTTAGTTTTCTTAGAATTAATGTTGGGATAAACCCCACAAACTTAGTGTTGAAGGAGAGCACACTCGAAACAAGTTTGTCGATGTATGTATGTTGGTATAAATAAAATATTTTAAAGTTTATTCTTGAAATGAGTCATTGGAAGAAGAATCAGAGGGTTGTTATCCAACTTTATGGCAAACTTTTATTCAGTGATTGGAACAATTACTTTTAAAAAGTAATACATTACTTTAACAATTACTTTTTGCACTTTGAAAAATTTGATGAAGACACAATTTTAGATATTTGTTGTATAGGTCCAAAATAAAACAAATAAATACTTCACGCAAGAGGACTATATTTATAATTTAAATTCAATAATAACTGACATTCAAAATTTTCGTCAGCCAAAGCATGATGTTTTGTCTTAAAAACATCCGCGCCAACACTAAACATCCTTTCCACTGCGGCGCTAGATGGAATTGTTGTGGGGCAACATGTTACGTTTTTTTACCCAAAAATTGAAAAGCCGATTCTTTTGCGCCTAATTTCATTTCACTCTAGCTACAAATAAAAGTTCGATGCCAACTGCAACAATTTTTAAACAGAAATTTGCATTGGTGGGAGATTTCAAAATATCTTATTGGCTACGTGTAAATGTATCGTAAATATTAGTCCACCGATAATTACCTGCGGACGCAAATATTTTAATCTTTAATAAAAAGTATGTTCCTAAATACTTAGAAGGAGGCTACAAGATAATGTAAACTTAAAAGTCTGTCTTTAACTGCCTCTTACTTGGCGTTGTGACTTAAGGTACATGTCCACTTGAGAGGGCGCTTGCGAGAAATAATTCCAAAATCAGACCGTAAAGTCATGGTCGGGCCGGCCCACAACAGGGTAAGTGTATCGTTTTTACCTGGTTTCTCTGAGTTTGTGAGCGACTCGCACAATACGAACGGATTTCGAAGTGCGACAGTGATCCCCAATAAGTCTGTTTTACGTGTATTTTTTTCGTAATAACTGAATTCATTGCAATAATAGACCTTTGAAATTTGAAATGACAACTTGAGATTAAAGATGGCTTAAAATCAAAATCAGAACTCTCGTGAGAGTTGCTCTTCAGTGGACACGTACCTTTACAGATTAAATTTAGAAAACCTTAGAGGGTGAACAATCTCATGAAATTTTATAGATTTAAGTGGACCAGAAAAATGGCTAAAGTTTGTTTGACCACAAATTTTAAATATTCTGTCCTGTTTACTCAATTATTTATTAAGATATTTTATTTCTGTAAAGCGCAATGGATTTTTTAATACAGTTTCTACTAATGTACCTTTCTGAAAATTTAAAATTGATGCATAAATAGCGAAAACCAGATAATCTCTTACTCATCACAATTTTAACGCGTTTTAGTTTTTTTTTGACAACAAAATTTAGAAAACGGAAAGGCAGTCTGGGTAGGGTTTTTACGCTCAATTCAACGGTGTTAAGTTTATTACAATTGGACGTGTACTTTTGGCAAAAACTTAGGCAGACGTTTATATGTATTTCCCTAAGCTGGAATATGCTTTGGCTCACCCTGAAAATGGTGAAGAGCTTATGTATGGTTACCTGGTTTCTTAATAAATTCTGTGCTAAACTCGTTTTCGATTTTAACTACTTACTCGGTTAATCTTCTCTTTGTGGGGACGAACCAAGTATAATCCCAGCCGATCAGGTAAATGATTCGTAGAGAAAAACAAAACAATATTTTTGAGTATTTGGGTTAAAAGTAATTGTAAAAGTGACTGAATTACTCAAAAAAAAGGAATTCGTTACAATTGCTCATTACATTTTTTGAAAAGTAGTGCATTACAATTACTCATTACTTGAAAAGGAATTGAATTACAGTAATGAATTACTTGTAACTGAATTACTTCCAACCCCTGCTTTTAATATACTAATTTAATATTTAATATTAGTTTAGTCAAATCCATAAAAATTTTAAAAATAATAAATGGGCAATGGTAAAAATTCTTTACAAATTATTTTACCTTCAACTTGGGGTGTTTTTACATGTAGAACAAAATTAATACCTCTGATTTTAAAACCACAAATCCGACATGGGATGACTCGCGGGCTTTTTATTTGCATCGGTAAACAAGCACGGTTAATTTGTGCAGTGAACACTAGAATTACATCATTTGGGGTTTAATTTGCAAAGTGTATCTATCTTTAGAACGTAATTACTTTTACACGCTCTGTTTGTTTTTAAATGGAGAAATGTAGCAGTTGATTGCAAAGGTGAAAAATTTAAGGGAAGTACAAATTTCACAAGTACATTTTACCTCCAAAATTTGATAAATACGTTTATAGTATTGAAGTCAAAACAAAATCCAAAATATTTAAGAAACTAATATAGTAATCTTCTGCTTGCTTATAAACAAAATAATAGTTGCCGAACATTTGGTGAATATGGTTGATTATTCTTGAACAAATATTGGGTGTGCCATATTTTTAGGTGATTAATAATGCTGAAAATTTTTATTTATGTGAAATTATCTCACGCCTGGAAAGTAAAAATTATAAAGAATGTCAAAAATGAATTCGTTTATTGATTTAATAAATTTTAATCGTTTGACAGGTGCGTAAGAGCGCGTGCTAATAACGGAACGGTCGCGGATTCGAACCCCTCATAACCTTTTTTTTTTCTTACGCTGTGATTGGTAATGTCTACATTTTTTATGTATAGGCGTTATCATAAAATAAATAAAATTTCCCAAAATCAAATTTTATCATTTTTCGGAGAAGCTGGACTGTTGGACTGTACTTCAGATGTAGACAAAGTTCTTTCTAAATAACAAACGTTTTAATTTTAAGAAGAGAGTAACAGTATGATTATGGTGTTCCATAATATACATCAAAATTAATATGCAGTATATTATCTTATCAAACTTAATAAAAAGTTGATGACATCGTCTTCAAATGATTTTTAAATGAGCCGTGATTATAAAATACGGCCTGATGCGGTGTTAGTTGCGCTTCAGATGCGAGGGAAGTTCAGTGTAAACGGATTTTCTGAGTAAGGAAATTATTATGCATTGAAAACCTCGGAGAATTCACGTCAAGCTTGTTTTGCTCGTTTTTTTTGTGAAACCTTATCTTTTCCAATAAAAATATTTTTCAGTGGGAATGGCTTCTTATTCGTTCAGTTACAATGAATGTGGCGACTTTTTTTTGGTACCCAATATTACAGTCAAGGGATTGACACCTTCAATCTTAAAAACATACAGCGACGAATTTATTTTTTGCGGAACATGTTATAAAGCGCTTCATGAAATAGCAACACCTAGTCCATACTCTGGGGAATATAAGCAAGACGGTTACATCTTTGCTGTAATTTGCTATCATTTGTTTTGTTGTTTTTTACTTCAATAATATTTTTAGGAACTCTGCCAAAGCATTCAACGTTATTTGGAATTTTATCGCACAGTCGTTATCGGAATTCCTGACAACATAGGTCTATTAAAATTGTACGAACGCACAAACCAGTTACGCAGTCATCTCACAACTTTAACCGAAATCTGCAAGCTAGGCCCTTACTCGAAATCAGAAAGAATGCCTCATGGAGTCTCACTTTTAAACTATTTGTACCAAACTGCATTGAATCTCACTGACAAAAATGTTTTATTGGTACTTTACGCTATACTGTTTCCGTGTTGTCAAGTTTATTTTAGCAGATTTCTGCAACAATGGCTTTTAGAAGGCAGTGTTAATGATCCATACGAAGAATTTTTCATTAAATCCAACTTTAAATACGTATCTACCAGAGGCAGGACTTATTGGACTAGGAGTTATTTCATACGTGAAGACGTTGTTCCCGATTTTTTACTGGACCTGATAATGGATATTTTGAATTGTGGAAAAACGATGAATTTACTAAAATTATGCATGCCATCGGTTAGTTTCAATGTAAGGTCAGTTTTATTTAATTAACTATTTTTTTCTGCAGAGTAAATTATGTTCATATTTAATGGGAAAGAAACCTCTCATTATTTCTTGTTGTTTGACTTCCGAACAATTATCGTTATTAGAACAAAATGCGACGAGTTATTACCTTGAAGTTTTGTCCGAATGCGGGTCTAGAATGAAGCTTGAACAGATTGTAAGAGCAAGTAAGGAGCAAGATCCATTTTTCATGAATTTGATTGCCAAGAAAAGAGCCATGACGTTGAGAAGACTCGAACGTAAGTAATCTTAAAACTTTACTCTCTCTACATAGCTATTTAAGCAATATTCGTTATTTTACTAATGTCTATTTTCTATTTAAATGATTTTTTATATTATTAGTTTATATGCTTCAAATTGAGCCTGTCTTTACCGGATACAAAGAACAATGCGAAAACATCTGAAAGTCCTTTTTTTCAAACTGGAAAATTTTGTGTTTGTTGAACCAAAGCGTGTATGTTTGGCCGAATCAATTTGAGTAATCCACTCCCGACATTCGTAATTGAACGTTATTGACAATACAAAGTATCGCCGTGGGTGCTGTTAGATTTCAAGACATTTTCGTTTGGTTAGGTGTAGGAATCATTTCACTTTTTTTTTTCATTTTCGTCTTCAAAACATATTTAGAATTTTTGCTGTAGTACTGAAAAAAAAAAGGTGTAAGCCACGCATTAGAAGCGAGAACTTTAAGTACAATGTTGATCAATTGGTTCAAGCAGTGACTATTTATATATGTATAGTCACTGGTTCAAGTATAGAATTTCCGAAAAGTGAGTACGTCAATCGTAGATGATTTATCATGGAATTTTTGTTTTGGGGCCTAAAAATTAATTTTTCTCTATTGAAGTTTGACAATCGGTCTAGTAGTGTCGAAGATTATCTGTTTAATAAAAATCGACATAGATGATACACGGACGGCAGACAGAAAGACCTATCTTTCGTACTCTGAGGGACAATTAAAATTTAAGTACTGAACAACTGAGTAATTTCAGCCAATTTAAGAAAAACATTAACATGCATTTCGATACGGAAGTTCTTTTTACTTTGGCGTAAGTTAATACATATTACAATAGGTTGCATCCGGCGAATTGTTACTTTCATGTTTTCTCGACGTTTTATGACTTCTAGAGTACGAAACAATAGGTCTCTCGATTTCGTCTGTCTGCCTGTCTGTCTGTCTGTCTGTCTGTACATTTTTATAAGACAGATAGTCTTCGAAACTACTGGACCAATTGTTGTCAAATTTTGTATGTATCTTAGGAATATCATGTAGATGGTAAAACGCTAACCAAAATTTGGCTAATTAATAATTTTTACGTGTATTTGAGGAACACAGAAACATCGATTTACGTGTATTTGAGGAACACAGAAACATCCATATTAAAAAAAAATTAAAATTGTATATGATTTTACAATTCAGTTTTGACACTGCAAAAATGCTCTGAAATCTTGCAAGCGTTTTAAGATTATCATAAGCGTGGTAAATATATTCTATATAAATGTACAAAATATAACGATTCTTTACCTGTTGGTTATCAAGGTATTCATATTTTTTAGACTTAGGTACTCCAACATATTAATGAATGGAGCAGTTTATTTGTTGATCAAGTTTTTATTTAATCAATAAAATGAACTGTTTCTACTTACCCCATTTTTCGAAAATTTAGGAATACAGTACTGTTATTATGTATATTAATATTACCATGTACTGATATTTGTCCTTGTTAAAATGTTAATAAATCATGACAAAATTTTGTAAAGGAAAAGCCCACTGGAAACATACGCATAGCATGCTTCTTTGTGTTTGCACTACACATATCTTTATTTTAACTGTTAAGAGTTATCACAAAAAAAATAAAATTCTCAAAATGAGATATATTTAGCGCAGTTCGAGACAAGTTCTGTCTAAATAACTTTGGATCAACTTTAATGTCAAACAGTTATGTAAAACTTATTTTTTTTAAGCAAGTTTGTCATTATTGCTTTTTGACAAATCAGAAAACCACGTAAATTTAATGTGGTATATGTAGGAATCGATTTGAAGTAATAGTTTTTAAAAACTGGTAGTTAATTTCTAAGGAAAAAAAAAATTAGTATATAGTTTTTCTTATTCAAGAATTTGTTACATCCTAGTCGTAGACGCCTGTAAGTTAATGCATTTTTTCCGGTGGATTTTATTTTATGTTTTTGGTTTACACATGATGTTATCATTTTAAGTGAAAACAGTACCCTTTAGTAAAAAAGTCCGGGAGGTAAATTTGAATTAAGTAAATATGCTGATTTTCATTATTAAATAAATTTTGATGTTTTCAAAAACATGTGGATTTTTTAATTTGATCACTCGGTGCACCCTTTAGTTTTTTTTTTCAAGGAAATATCAGCATTTGTGTCAAAATTTTATCGGTGTGTGTGTAACGTGTCAAAGTTATATTTGTAGAATTTTTGTGAACAATTCATGAAATATTAGTTACAAAATGTAATGTAGTAGCACTAAATGCCTGAATCTTTGGTTGTAGTTATTTCTAACACCTATTCACCTTTCTTCATGGCATACTGTGTTTTCTTTTATGTCAAAAGAATTTTGTTGATCTGCAAGTCAGACTTTTATTTATTGCAACAGCGATGGTTTCAGTAACGCTTGTTTTAATAACTCAAAAGATTGTTGGAATTCTTCAAAGCAGTTGGAAATGACGCTCTTCTTTGTAATAGGCTTCATCGGGCGATTGGCTGCTTTCATTTTTTCTCGACGTTTTATACCCTTAGAGTACAAAAAAAATGGTCTTCCGTTTCCATCTGTCTGTCTGTCGTCTGTGTCGATTTTTTCTAAACAGATGATCTCCGACACTACTGGGCCAATTATTGTAAAATTTTGTATGTACTGTTGCGCCCCCCCCAAGAGTGCACGATTTTCCGTTGTCATGGAATTTTTTTAAATTTTAAATTAATGTAAGTCTCGCTATTACCAGTGGTGTAGCAGTTTTGAATAAACAAAATGTCAAATTTGACAAATTTTGTTCTTCGAGCGCCCATGATTTGAAGATACATTTACAATAGAGAAAATTATCCTGCACTTTTGAGGGGCCGCAACTGTAGATGGTAAAATGCTAACCAAAATTTAATGACATCCCTTCAATTTTTTTTTAGTGAACGCTATTTAAAATTTTCTAAATTAACATGGTCCTATACTTGTGGTTTATGAATCCGCTTTGATTTTTTTATCCTAGGCAACTAGATATTCGCAAAGAAATCAAAATTGCAATGGGTATTTAGCAAAGCATAATATTCGATATTAAATAATATTCAAGTGCTTGAAGTTTTTGTAGTAGGTTTTATAAACAGAAAGTTAGCACGGCAGAAGTCTCAGATGAAGCGCTATATATTTTATCTAACTATGTTAGAATCGTAGATAGGTGAAAAATGTAAAAACAATGATTTATGGAAAATTGTTATAATATATAAGGAATTAAGAACGCGTTTTTGAACGTTTTATTAGAATCTTTACACAAAAATATTAATGCTTTCACAATTTTGTTTTTACGTTTGTAAATACGAATTAAGAACCAAACTTTTTAAACCAGGAGGTGCTTTGATTTTTATTTCTTGTCGAAATTTTAGTTTAAACTTTATCTTTTTCCTACTATCGTCACCTTTGTTATTTTGTATTTTAGTTGAAAGGAAAAAAGTCTTAGAAGAGGAAAAAGAAAAAAAGCTTGACGAAATAACCGTTTTGAAGGAGCAGTACGATTCGGCCCTTCAACTGAAGCAGTCACGTATAGCTTCAGAAATTGAAACCGAGATAAAACAGATCGAATTTAATATATCGATTGAAAATGTTCGAGATAAGTTAATAGAGAAGGAGGCGTAAGTTGTAATATAGCGTAAGTAATATTTTTTGATGGTTGTTCCTTTAAGGAAGGAAATGATAGATTATTACAATAAGCTATACGAAATCTCGGATCAACGTCGAAAGAAAATTGAAACCCACATCCAAAAGCTAAAAACTTATTGTTTAGACCAGTCGATACCAGTAGAGATTAATTCCTCAGAGGAATCGTTTTATTCGGTTGATGATGTAGTGAAGGAAGAAGAAAACGATGAGAAATTTATTGATTCATTACCAGAATGCGAACAAGAGGGGGCACTGGTTTCTGAACCTCAATCTGAATTAAAACCGATGCACTCGTCACAATCGCTCGATATAATTAATGCAAATAACGAAAAAAGCGAAGATAATACGATAAAAGCTGTAATGGAAACATTTGCAATGGCTCGAAAAATTAAGGAAAAGGTATTGTCAGAAGAAATGGGTATAATACTTGCAGCACCTGTTCACAAGAAACAAGTCAGCTCAATCTTTGATAACGAGAAATTAACCGATGCGCAAAGAAATAAATTGAGAGTGTTAAGCTCAGAGTTCGGAATCGAAATTAAACCACCGCAAATCAAGAAGAGTTTGACTCAGTGTGAAATTAATCGCAATGTTGTCTTAGGAAGTAGCGACTGCTTTTACCCTTTCAAGCTAGATAACGTGAATTATCTTAATAAGAACCTTGCAACTTCTACCGAAGAGAGCGAAAAAAAGATTAAGAAGTCGACGAGTTTGTCGTTGGACTTTGTTAAAATTGATCCTCCGATACCGATGAGCGTCGATACGACCCCGATGAGTGAATCTACTACAAGTAGATTAGTTTTAAGTGTAGAAAAAGGTGAATTTGAAAGCATTCCGACAACCGCCGATACTCACATTACTGACGAAGGATTTGTTTTTGATGGAAACCCCGAATCAGGGTATATTCTGATTAAAAGAAGTTTTTCGGATACTTTGCAAAAGAAAGTCTTTTCTAAACGAGTCACTGTAGAAGAAGCTTCTGGTTTAAGCACGAATTGTTTAAAGTTATTTTTGCATGAAAGCATATCTATTCCACTGGCAACACAGACGAAGTTAGCAGAGAACGAGTTACTCAAATATTTTATAGACAATTTGCACTACTTCAAACATTTGAATAGTTTGAGAGATTACTTTTTTCTTCAAGATGGCGAATTTGGTCGAAATATTACTGAGAATTTGTTTGAAAAGTTGTACGACGTGCATTTTCCTATTGAACTGATCAACTGTAGAACTTTGCAGAATTTAGTCTTTGGTGCTTTACAGATGTCAAGTAAATTTCAAGAAAATTCTAATTATTTGTCTTTTAAAATCAATAGTTTGCCAAAGAGGTTTCATTTGGGAGATCCAGACGTTTTAGATTGCTTGTCTCTCACTTACAAAGTGCACTGGCCGTTAAACATTTTGCTTCCGGTGGATACTGTTAGCAAATATGACGAAGTATTTAAGTATCTTTTGAAACTCAACCGTATTTCTTGGGTTTTAAAAAAGATATTTTTGGTAAGAGTTTCGAAGTGGTATTTATTATCTAATGTTTATATATGTAGGAACTGAAAATTCTAGCAAAAGTTTCTGGAAAAAAGGAAATATATCTAATGATATCACCTCACTATCGAAGATTGCATCAGTGCCGTCATGTAATGTTACATTTTATTCAGACGTTGCAGAATTATGTCGTTGGTGAAGTTCTGCAATCTAGTTGGGAGATTTTTGAACGAAGCTTATCTACAGTAAACAATTTGGATTCTTTATATTTAGCGCATACAACATACATAAAAAATATTTTATTTTTGTAAGTTAATTTCGCTTTTCTTCGCTTTAATGTTAAATTTGTTTTTTAGATGTCTGTTAAATCAAAAGTCGACGCCTTTGAGAAAAGTTATACATAAAATTTTCGTTGTGATTTTGAAATTTTATGATCATTTAAGATCAAGAAGTTGGAACTGCGAAAATGGTACATACGTGCATCCAAATTTCTCTAAATTAGAAAGCATTTTTCAAAATTTCGAGGAATTTGTCCTGTATTTGTTTAAAATAGGAAGAAAAGTTGCAAGAAGTGGCTATCAACCTCACCTCACACAGTTACTCGATATGTTGGATGTTAATGGTTATTACTCTGCAAAAAATGATATTCATGTTACTTGAACTTTTATTAAATGTTGTAAAAAAATAATAAATAAATAGGTATTTAATGCCACTTAAAATTATTAGTTTTTTTTTGTTTCCCTGAAAGAAATAAACAATATGCCAAAGATTCTAACAGGTGGGTATTTTTATTGTTAGTGTAAGTAAATTAAACTTTATTTAAAAATATGCAGCCAAACTTACTATATCAACAATGTTCCTAAAATAGACAGCTTGTGCAGAAAAATTAAATTTACTGTAATATTAAATTTCGTACGTTAATTAACTGAAACTGGATCTCCGTTGACTGCAAATTTATTATGGTGTCAACTTATATTGATCTGCTAATGTGAATTAAACGTCTGCATATTAATAGAGTTATTATTGTTGTCACATTAGAGAAATAGAACAAGGTTAGTCTTAAAAAAATGCATACTTATTTCATAATGTGGGAGGGGAAATATTTATTTTTTAGATGTTTTCGTCTGGATTTTTTTGCGCGCCACGTGTTTTGTGACTAGGAGAGCATTTTTTCGTATGATTTTCTCCAAGGAAACTTTTAATTGCGTCGAGACGACTGCTGGTTAAAAAATGGGAGTATATTTATATAAATTGCTCTAAGATATAAGTAGAAACTGTTCTAACCCTGGAGACGACAAAAACTCAGTTGGATTATGTTTTATACTATAAGTACTGTTCATGAAAACGAAACACCTATATACCTACAAGGTGTGATCGACAAAAAACGTCCTTAGGCAAACGTAGGTTTCTTCTCTACTTCCACTCACGACAAAGAACGAGAAAATGAGTTTGCTCGTTCAACTTGATGTTTTTATCGCTCATCTCAAAAAATTCACAAGTGGTCTGTCCACGGTTTATTCTATTTTCTTATTTTTAAACTGTTTGCACAAGGTATTTAAAAAAGTGGTCAATGATTATCTACTTTTGGAACCGTTTTCTTGAAATGTTGGTTAAGAAAGTAATTTTATATTAAGTTTAACACTGTAGGTATGTCCCCTAATGAATATATTTATGTCCTGTTTCTTAATGATTTACTGTAATCCCCCAAATGCCCTAGTCCTGCTTTTGCTGATGACAAAAATGCATCATATAATTTCCTCATTTAATATGTTGACAATTTCAATTTGTTTTAAACATTTGTAAATGTTTTTATGTATCATATACGCGTAAATCCAATCCTATTGATACTTTTTATACTATTAATGGTCTGAACTTAGAGAAGACCTCAGTTGTTAAAGATCTGGGTGTAACTTATGACTCGGAGCTAACTTTTAATATCCACATTGAAGACTTAAGTAATTTAGCAAATAAATCATTGGGTTTTTCTAATGCGCGTTTCTATATATTTTAATAATCCTGATTTACTGAAATCTCTTTTCTTTGCGTTTGTGTTGAGTAAAATTGATGAATATGCCTCATTAATCTGGTACCCCATCTACATGAATTAACATACGATGCTTGACAAGATACAAAGAAAATTTCTGAAGTTTCTCTCATTCAAGATGAATGGCTCCTATCTGAGTGGCGGCACTGATATTAACTTATTATTACAACGCCATGGAATGGAGTGTGCTAAATTTTTGATCAAACTGCTTCATAATAAAATTGATTGCTCTATTTTTCTCTCTAAAATACAATTTCATGTTCCACGTTTTTCAGCAAGACTTGCTAATAGCTTTAATATTAGCACGTCCCGCACCAATGTTTTAGCCCGAGCGCCTAAGTATACCTATTATGTCTATAACTGTGCCAATAAACTGATAGATGGCATTTTTTTTTCTGCTCTAGTTGCTAGATTAGTTTAATAATATTAATTGGGTACTTATACAGGGTTAGTCACGAGAGAATTACTTCTGAAAATTATTTTTACGCAACCCAAAATACGAATACCATGTACCATTTGATACTAACTGAATTTAAAATGAAATGCTTAATCCATGATTGCTTTGAGTTTGGCAATCTCATTTTGACAATTGTGGAAAATGAGGTTACGCGTGTATCCATGGTGGTACCACAGCCAGTCGGAAATCTCCTCCGGCGCCGCTAATAAATTTGTCAGTGTGCCTCTTGATCTTTTGCAACTGATTAATCACGAGAAAATTATTTCTAAAAATTCCTTTTACGGCATTTTATTCAAAGGTTACAACACAAACTCAAACAAGTAAGTAAATAATTTAACTACTAATCTGTTGAAAATGTTGGGCATTTTGGGGGGATGCTACGGCTTTTTTGTAAATGGATGGCCGAAGAAGTCCAGAGGTTGCAGATTTGCACTTCGAAGAGGCTCTAGGTGACGCAGAGATGGCAAATTAACACATGCACATTAGCGGCGAACAACATTGGTAGAGCACTTACGGCTTCAGTATAGCCCAGATTGATCTGACTGTATGTCGTCAATCCAATGGGGCTCTAGAGGCGAGTCAACGATGAAAAAAAATGTTAAAAATTAATTAACGTCAAAGTGACACTGCCAAAGTCAAAGCAATCATGGATTAGGCATTTCATTTTAAATTCAGATAATATCAAGTAGTAGAGGGTATTAGTATTTTACTAACCCTGTATTTCGTTTTTAGAATTTTTGATTTGCATTTATTTACTATTTTTTTTCTGCTTAAGTTGCTAGCTTAGTTTAATAATTGAGTACTTATATTTCACTTTTAGAATTTTTGATTTGTATTTATTTATTTAAGATTCCTGTTTTTTTGTAATATGTTGTTCTGTAATTGGGTTTCTTGGTGGGCAATAAAGATTATTATTATTATTAATATTATAGTTAATGATGTTGTAAACCTAAAATTAAATTGACAGAAAATACAATAATTTATTTATTGCGGATACAAAAATTTGAGACAATTTTGGAGAAAACATTTTACAGTAGAGCATTTTCTGTTTCGTTTATTATCAAAGTTTAATTTACCACCAGAATAAAGCCCATACACATTCTTATATTTTATGTTTTGTGGATCGTCATATTTATCACATTTCTTTTTCCTATTCCAAAATTATTGCTAGTAGATTTTACTACAGTAATATGTTTAAAATTTGTTCAAATTCAGTTAGATTAAGATTGCAAAACGGACGCCAAATTCGAGCTACCAAAAGGTATTTCATCGAATTTTGATAATAAAGGAATACAACTGCAAGTTGTAAGTATTAGGGTTTCCCAGATAGTTATACGTACAACCCCGCTCATAAAAAAGTGGTCGTCAATGAATTTTATACAGAATTAAATGGCAGAATCTGACATTGAAGACCACTTTTTATGAGCGAGGTGATATGTAGTTAGCTATATCTATCTTGTCTTAAATTCGAAAAATGCGACTACATATTTTACTCTCCATGTTCGAACAGTTTTATTTTTATTCCCAATGGTCATTGAATGCATTTTCTGTCCGTTTTTTAGAATTTTTCAGATTCCTTTTAAGCACGCGAACGCCAAAGCCTGTTTATTTGTCAAGGTAGTTGATCTTGGTATCATTATAGAGTAATCTGTGCCAATTGGACATACTTAAGTGTTCTTGAAACGTCTCTAAATTTCCAGGAGGTGATTGCAAATGTTGCGAAGTTCCATGTTCTGACGTCCTTAGCTTTGTTCTACGTGGTTAGAATAGAGGAAGATCCTGCTTTTAGCACTTCGTGGCACGTATTCTGTCATTTCAAACGAAAATGCTGAGGTAACGTTTAAATTTCAGTTAGAAGCAAGTTTTCTCGTCAACGTAGCCTAATAACCACACAGAAAATAAAAGTAATGTTGTTAATATAGTTCAAAAATTATTTTTCTAAGGTGAAATTACTATTGTAAAGACGGTTCCTATTTTTCTGAGATTTAATTTTCATGTTTTACGTGATATTATGGTGGAGGCGCCGGGTAAATTTTTTTAATAACGCCTTAAATATTTTCCCCTCATATATGTAAACGAAATGTACACAAAATTGTATTTGTATATTAATACAAATATAGAATTCGAAGTTCAGTATTTTGATAAGTTGTACGCGAGAGTACCACTGCCATCTTTAGTTACACACTAAATTCACTTTAATATTCACTAATCACAAATCATTACAAAAATGTACTTGTATGTGAATTATTCCATATTACATTAACAGGTAAGAATTACTTTGCGGTCTTAAATCATTCACTTCTTTTTCTATTGAGTTTTCTAATCATAAAGAGATTTTCCTTTCCTCTGTATAGGTACTAAACATTTATACCCTATTCAATTTTAAGCTACCATGTGTTGTTTTTGTAAAAATTTATTTTGTTCATCCCAGCATCGCCTTGCATCCTAGGGGTCTTGGTGGACGGGAGTGAACAGCTTCTTGAACGGGTTAAGCATCCAGTGGCATATCCAGAGGGGTCCCACCGGGTCTACGAGTCGCGTTAGTTAAGCATTCAGTGGCGCATCCAGAGGGGTCCCACCGGATCAACGAGTCGCGTTTGTCTAGTGTCGGTGTGCAAAGACTTCGTGTTCAAGGACTATTTTCGTGTTTTCGTGCTCAAGGACTCTTTTCGTGTTTAAGGACTTTTCTTGTGTTTAAGGACTATTTTCATGTGCAACGACTTTTGTGTTTACGGATTATTATGTGTGCAATAACTTGTTAATCCCTGAGATATTGTGTATATATTGTTGTCAGTAAAAGAGTTTCGGCTCACTGAACCAGCTACAAAGTGTAATTTTGTGTCATACCTATATCAGTTAGATCTTTTAGTTCCTGTTTCTCCACAACCTGTAAATTATTTTTCTTCTCCCCTAGTTTTATTATACATATATATATATATATTAATTTGTTCGCATTGAGGTTTTCATAAAATGATTTAAATATAGAATCTAAAAAATAAAGGATAATTTGTTCCCGATTTAACGTTTTTACGAGATTAACTTTTTTTGGTTGTTTTCATCTTACTTGATTGTTGTTGGTTGTTTGTAAGGGGCGTCACCTAACGAAATGTGTGAATAATAAGTTCACATAACACCTCTATTTGTAACTAAATAACTAGTCGATTTAATAATTTGTTTGGTTTTTCAGTATTGTAGTTACTTTGCTTGATTCTTGTAAACAA